TTGATTTATTCAGATAAGCAAAATAAATACTTTCATCCATGCAATGTGTAACTGTTGAAAGTAGCCTTCTAATGGTTTCTCGATATTGACGATTAATTAAAATGATTGTGAATTTTCTTGATAATATATATATTATACATATGTAAATTTTTATTTGATAAATTATCATAATCATATTACTGAATATATTATAACTTATAAATCCGAGGGACAGAAAAACTAATTAGTTATATATACATATGTACATATGTATGTATGTATAAATGTGAACTAATATTTATTGAATCTATAAATTAATTGCCCACTCCCAAACGATTTAATAACCACTTAAGAGGATTTAGCCGGTTAACAGTCGTTAGATAAGCTTATAAAATATGTAAGTAAGCATGCCTACATTGCTTGCACGCTGAATAGCAATGCACCAATGCACCGGTTCTATGAGTATTGTACTGGGAAGAAATTTAGTTTACCTTCTTGAGGCCTAAATGATTTGTGGTGATCCATTTTAATGTTCTACATGGGATCACGTTTCTATTTCCATTGTTTATGCCTGTGCAACTATATGGATACCTCTCGGTTTAGATACATATTTGATGATATCCAATGATATTCGGTAGAAAGTAATTGATAATTTCAGTAGCTATTTATATATTTTCGTAATAAGAATTAAGAGACACTCCAACTTGAGTTAATTTTATTTCACTTTGCGATAGTCTTCCTATGTGGTCGTCTATGTATGTATGTCTACTAAAAACTAAATTATTTTCTTACATTTTTAAATCTCCATAAAGGCATTATAATTATCGTGATCTGAACATACTTACATAAGTACATACATATGTATGTATGTATTTCCAAAAGCGAAACACAATAATAAATGCGTTTTACAACGCAAATGCAGTGTTAGTACTCAAGTTATTCGGCTACGAAACAAAGAAAACTTGAACTCTGGTTCACAGCTGTGAAGGAAGATGTACAAATTACGTCACTAAACGATATACGCACATGCATATGTATGTATAGATATTTGTAACCACATAGAAAGCCCATTATTCCAATGAATGCATGCGACTGTTGAAGTTATGTTTTCATATGATTTTGATAGTGGCTTCTGTTGTGTCACATTGTAAAGATAGCATTTGCGAGCATATTGGATTGAATTGCGTTTTACATGCCTATATTTAACTATTACTTGTATGTGTGTTACTGCGTATCTAAATAGCCGTCGGACGTCGTTCTCAGCTAAAATTGCGTTTCAAATGTTCATTACAACAATGCTGGCAATGATTTTCTACAAAAATTCCTATAGAAGATACCATAGATGTGCTCATTAGATACAAAAGGGTTGAAAGTTCAGATTTCTGTATTAGGACAAAATAAAATTTGCTGTGTTGAAAATTTATTTCTGATAACTTCTTCTCTTTATGAGTATTCACTTAAATTTTTGGCTCCTCCTAACTATTGTATGTGACACACCCTAATGATTTTTGAGTATTAAAAAAATTGTATTATATAGCTTCGACTATATGTTAACCAATGTAGAAGTTGATTTTGAGATATAACAAATTTCGTGATGTTTAAGGACGACCCTAATATAATACACATTTCTGCATATAATAAGTCTCCGATCATTTTTTGTTGAATGGAAAACTATACATACATACATATGTAGTTACATACTTATGTATGTATGTCGAACGTATATAGGACTAGGTATACTATAATATTGTACTTACATAGGTACATTTGTACATATAAATTTGTTATAAGTGAAGCGCAATTAAAGCTGACCTTAAAGCGCAATATTTTTATATACTATCGCAACCTGTTGCTACAGTGTATAATAGTTTTGTTCACCTAACGGTTGTTTGTATCACCTAAAACTAATCGAGTTAGATATAGGGTTATGTATATATAAATGATCAGGATGAAGAGGCGAGTTGAAATCCGGGTGATTGTCTGTCCGTCCGTCCGTCTGTTCGTCCGTCCGTGTGTTCGTCCGTCCGTCTGTTCGTCCGTCCGTGTGTTCGTCCGTCCGTCTGTTCGTCCGTCCGTGCAAGCTCTAACTTGAGTAAAAATTGAGATATCTTTATGAAACTTGGTAGACATGTTTCTTGATACCGTGAGACGGTTGGTATTGCAGATGGGCGTAATCGGACCACTGCCACGCCCACAAAACGCCATTATTCAAAAACAAATAAATTGCCATAACTAAGCTCCACAACAAGATACAAGACTCTTATTTGGTATACAGGATCACATTAGGGAGGGGCATCTGTAGTTAAATTTTTTTTTTAAAGTGGTCGTGGTCCCGCCCCTAATAGGTTTAATGTGCATATCTTCTAAATCGCTAATAAAATAATAACAAATTTCACTGGAAGCAAGCTTATAGAACCTCTACCTACAGTGTGAAAATGGGTGAAATCAGGTGGCAACTTCGCCCACTCCCCATAGAACGGTACTGTTAAAAACTACTAAATCAAGCACTAAACACGCCAGAGACATTAAATTTTATCTCTGGGATGGTATAAAAAATATATATGGATATATAAAAAATATAAAATATAAAATGTTCGGTTACATCCGAACTTAGCCCTTCCTTACTTGTTTCTAAATATTTTTGTGATGACGTTGGTCCGAAACGCATAAGAAACATCAATATAAATTGTATATGTACATATGTAGTATGTATATACATTCATATATAAATATGTTTGCACGTATGTATGTAAGTATTCCTGTCTATATGTGTATGCAAATAAGAGCAACAACTGCAACATCATATACTTATGCATTTCCATAGAATTTTATGAATGCGTTTCATTTTGGGATAAACAAATATTTGCTATCTG